GTAGAAAAATAATATAAATGTTTGCCAGTAACGCTGCTTTATTTACTGTCGACTTTGATCCGTCTTAATGAAACACCCTCTATAATCCTTGCCTTCAGTTCGTTTTTGGTGTTACAATGTGTTTCGTTATTCGCTCGCTTAATTACGCCCAACACATAATAACCAAGGAGTTAGAGTCTGAGGAGTTAGGTGGCAGAAATTGTCTGGAAGCCATGACTGGATTCTATAGCTGATATGGCATGGTGCAGAATACTGTTACAAGACATAGGTTCTACAAGCAGCCATCCTTTTCCCCCCCAAATCACTACTACATCCTCATAGCACTTTATGTAGGCCCCCATATTGAGTCTGAGACCCTCACCAACAAATTCTGGAGTTATTTTTTTCATCGGAGATTTTCGAGCTATCGTACCTTCGTAACGATCGTACTGGAGCTTCTGGCATGAATACCAAACAGTACAGCGTGTCGTTTCCAAATTTCTGGCGCAGTGAATTGCGGCCTGATACTTTTTTTTTCTCACAGACGGCCCACGACTGACCCTACTATACTTTGCAGTATACAAAATCAAAAAAACAGATAACGCGCATGCACGAAATTAAAAATAGAGAATGGCGACAATTTACTCCTCGCACTTCGGAGTTACATAGATAATAAGCTGGCTAAATAGATAGATATGACTGTAGATAGATAGACGTTCAGACATATATTTATGCTATGTTTCTAAACGTAGTTTAGATATCGTACAATGCAGTATATATGTGACACCCAATGAGGATGGAACACACTAATCAATTGTAATGATTATAGCCAGACAAGTTTGCTAATCATTACGCCACACCGACAAGCCCCGGATATATATGCATGTATATATAGATGTGTATAAAGAGAAAGGGTGAGAGAGAAAATAGTTACATAGATAGATAGGAATATTATATATATATATATATATATATATATATATATATATATATATATATATATATATATATATATATATATCGGGAGAGAGAGAGAGAAAAGAAGAAGAGAGATTAGGTTGATAGATAGATGTTCAAATTTATATGTACGTAAGTATAGATGTGTATATAGAGATGAAGACCATGATCCATAGTTACGAACGTTGCAATATAAATATATATATATATATATATATATATATATATATATATATATATATATATGTATGTATATATATATATATGTATATATATATATATATATATATATATATATATATATATATATATATGTATGTATGTATATATGTATATATATATATATATATATGTATATATATATATATATATATGTATATATATATATATATATATATATATATATATATATATATATACATACATATATATATATATATATATATATACACGTTAGTTTTATAGATACAATTTATTTAAGTAAATGCTCTTGTTTTAATTAAACAGTATTAATATATATATATATATATATATATATATATATATATATATGTATATATATATATGTATGTATATATATATATGTATATATATATATATATATATATATATATATATATATATATATATACATGTATATATATATATACGTATGTATATATATATATGTGTATGTATATATATATATATATATGTGTATATATATATATATATATATATATATATATATATATACATACATATGTATATATATATACACGTTAGTTTTATAGATACAATTTAAGTAAATGCTCTTGTTTAATTAAACAGTATTAATATATATATATATATATATATATATATATATATATATATATATATATATATACACACAAATACAGAGAGTATGTATAGCGTATGCAGATATAAATGCGAAATGAAACGCATTTACTGCTAACAGTTCGTTCAGTATATGGAATATGTTAGAATTTGTTCATATCAAGAACTACTTTATTTTAGCAAAATAACTACACTGTGAAAACTTCTCATTCGAATACAACAGGCCTATTATTCTTCCTGGAAACTAAACTGCGACTCCAAAAATATGTCTATATGAATGACATTGTTTAATAAGGGATGCTGATAAAATTCTGCGAGATCGTAAGGAAAGTGAAAATGGTGGATGTGCCCGATAACTCCCAGGGTGACCATGTAAGCTAACAGCAAATTCGTTCGGTTTATATCGAGACTGTGGATATGGTTTCATGAGATATTCTTAATCATTTCATCATAAGCAAGGCGATAAAGTCACTAAGATCTGAGAAAACCTCGAGAAGACGGAGTTCAATACAACACGAGGAATTCAAGAGACAGATTCATTTACATTGTTTTTAAATATTGGAAGATTATAGTTGACAAGAAAACAACAAGCCGGAAGAGAGACCCACAGGCAAGAAGAAACGATAGGCAAAGAACTTGCGCACCAAAAATTTTAACATTTGAGGCCCAGATTGCAAAACTATACATATGCTTCTTGAATATAATCATTTTTTTTTTTTAGTGAATGGCAAGCCATAAAATTGAAATTGAAATTCAGAGACTTCGGGTTATACAGGGTATCCGTAAAATTCGTGTGCACTTTAAAAACTTTATAACTTTATTTGTATTTGCGATAGAAATAATCTGTAAAAAATGTTATAAAGTTTAATGTTCCTAGTTTTAAGTGTAGCCAAAATAACTAATGTGATTTCAGGCATTACTGTAAATCAGTTGGCAAATGTTTTCCGTGAACTGCAAAATCGTATTACCCTTTGCATTGCTAATGTTGGAGGACATTGGAAATTTAAATAAAATTTCAATAAAACCTTAAAAAATATAGTTTTACTTCTTTCAAATCCTTTTTAAAAAATTATTTCTATCGCAAATATAACTAAAGTTATAATTTTTTTAAAGTGCACACGAACTTTATGCATAAGCTGTATTTTGCGCTGAATATTAAACATAGTTTCCATATTTTATGACAGTTGATACAAAAGTCAACTGGATTTGATGTAATCCGATGATTACGTCACTATCAAGGGGAGGCTTATATGTAAAACGCTTTATTTGTAACAACAGATACAATTAAGCAGTCAAGTGGCGGGGAGAGTTGTATTTGAACGACTGAATAACGAATGCTGAAAAATTTATTGCAATACATTAAATGAAAACAGTTTGGTTTTAATCAACTGGTTGAAGCAAACAAGTGGGTTTCACTAGGAGGTTTATTCTCACAAAAATCAACTAAAAGATTCAAGAACATCCGTTTGAAAAATGGAAATCTAAAATACTTCACTCGCCTAACTGGTCATCAAATTTAAAACAAATTAGGTAATTTTAATACTTTGGATTAATACCGTCACATTTTAGGACGTATGATTTCACTGATTATTTTTTGTTAACTTAGAATGACTTTATTTATTTAAAATACTTGATTTTTTTTCTTTTTTTGCAACGTGCTAACGCGTGTTCAAATTTTCACAGTATTTAATCTTGTTGAAGTTACCGCAAACATTTTTTGTCGAGATTTACAAACGTGGAGTAATGGATAACGGCTCGGATTGAGGAATCGGAGAGCCGAGTTCGAATTTCAGTTGAATTACATTCACTTACGTGCTAATATACTTGGAATGGTATGAATCATCTTCTTCTCCCTACCAGCTATAAGTAAATAGCTGGACAGACCGAGTTCTATAGCTTTGAATGGTAATTGGTCTACCGTAGAAAGAACTGGCAACCTACTGCAGGAAAAAAAAATCTGACTCGTCAATCATGTATCAAAAGATACATGATCGCCTACACGTGTATCATGCATAGGACATAACTGACTGGAATTCACTTACCTGCTAATACCCTTTGAAAAACTATGAATACTCTTTTTTTCCTCCCAGGCTATGGGTAAATAGCAGGACACACCGGGTTCTATAGCTTTGAATGGCAATTGGTCTACCGCAGAAAGAAATGGCAGTCTACTGCAGGAAAAGATCTGCCTCGTCAGTCATTTATCGAAAGATACATGAGCGTCTAATCGTGTATCACGCATGGCACATTACTGACTGAATGATCTGTCGTTCAGTTTCACAAACCAATCTATAAAATCTGAGTAAGCTGATTTGTTTGGAAAATAATTTGATAAAATACTTCAGTTTAATTTAATTTTATAGGATATCATAGTATTGTAATATTTTTAAAGAATTTTTTTTTCCTTTTAAACAGCGAATAATGAATTCTTAGGAATTCTTACTCTTGAGCATGCGTCATACAACTGGTCAAATATTTTTTTCGGAATCCAAAATCCAACATATGAAGTGTTTGGATTTGTCATTTTTTTTATAGTTCTCGCAAACACAAGCCAAACTGGAAACTGGATTATTGTATATAAAAACTTAAAAATAGATATGCAAAAAAAGAAGATTTCATTTTTTATTAAATAAGTATTCGTTATTTCAATAATTAAAATGTTTGTTTTTAAACAGTGGAAATATTTTTTATGTTAAATAATAAATATTAATGTTGTATTTTATCACATACGAGCAGTAGAGCCCGGTGTTGCCAGGGGATGTAACAGTAAGAGATAGATCAAGTATCGACCATCATAAAGACTGAAAAATAAAATTGACAAAGATTATTGTTTAAGGTTGACGGACACACATGTCTTAATTAGTTTTTTATCAGATTTTTTTTTTTTTATGAATTGGTCAAACCCAAACTCAAACAAAAATATTGTTTTCAATCGTTATGAGTCTACCGATTGAATAGAATTTTATTATAAACAATTGCCTTGTCAATGGAATTTTTAAAGCATTCTGAATGTAAAAATAAAGAAAAAAGTGTGGAAGACAATAAGAAACACTACCTACCAAAAAGAAAGTGAAGATTTGTTGAAATCGGTTGAAAAATGTAGGAAATCCGATCCTATATGTAAACGAACACACACACACACACACACACACAAACAACATGGGTTTTATAATAAGTATAACTCGATATGAGTTGTCCCCTTTTCATTCACGTCACAGCGATGCCTCTTAATCGTGTTTTCAAATTGATTGCGTGCAAAAAAATTGTGTTTTTCCAATTTTTGGCGCTGTCGAACCACCGCAAGGTAATTTTACGTAGTCCTGTGAAGTTTTGTTGAAATCGGTTGAAAAATGTAGGAAATCCGATCCAATATGTAAACGAACAGACACACGCACACACACACAACCTGGGTTTTATAATAAATATGATCTATTAAGTCAGTTTCGACTCGTGTACAAATAGTTTCAGCAAATAGATGAAAGTGTGTCAAACTCCACGGCAAGGCTGCAGCAGAAGTGGAGGCAATAGGAACATTAGGTTTAAGAAAATAACCTAAACGTTTAAAGCACTTTTTCGTGAATTTGGCACCATAATTAATTGTGCATTCTATCTCTGTCTCACTAATAAAGAACAAAGCGTCATATCTCAATATGGAAAGCAGAATAATAATATGACAAAAATAAATACTTCAGTTCGATATACCCTGAAGGCAACTTTCATCGACAGACACCTGAAAACAAATTTGTGATAATGGCAACAAAGATGAAGACATTAGTCCGACTGTAAATAACATCAATACAGACACATAGCTTTTCCTCTAATAGATGGAAACTTATTTCTTGGTAAAACTTTGGAAATGAAAACTTAGTCTTCTCAAACCTCATTAATACATTGGTATCTCAAATGGATCAGATATGGTGAATGTACTAATGAACATTATATTAAGTAGTCTTATTATTTGATGAAAGCCAACACCTGACAACGCAGTTTGGTTTGGTTTGGTTTAAGGCATATCAATCTCAATGGGTTATTTAATGCCGACAAGCTTATTATTGATAGTAATAATTTTTTATCTATCTATCTATCTATCTATCTATCTATCTATCTATCTATCTATCTCAGCATATATTGGTTTGCTTTGCTTTGTTTTATGGCATATCAACCTCAATGGGTTATTTAATGCCGGCAAGATTTTTGTTGCTGGTAATATTTTTATCTATCTATCTATCTATCTATCTATCTATCTATCTATCTATCTATCTATCTATCTAGCCCAATTTTTAATCTTTCTCTCCTTATCTATCTATCTATCTATCTATCTATCTATCTATCTATCTATCTATCTATCTATCTATCTCAGCATATATTTGTTTGGTTTGTTTTGTTTTACGGCATATCAACCTCAATGGGTTATTTAATGCCAACAATATTTTTTATTGCTGGTAATATTTCTTATCTATCTATCTATCTATCTATCTATCTATCTATCTATCTATCTCAGCATATATTAGTTTGGTTTGTTTTTTTTGTTTTTTTTTACGGCAAATCAACCTCTATGTGTTATTTAATACCGACAAGATTGTTATTGGTGTTAATATTTTTTCAAAAAATGTATTACTGATATTTTTCCTTCAAAAATGTATTGCTGGGAATAATGTAATGTTGATAATAATGATTCACAAAAATGTATTACTGGCAATATTTTTTTCTTTCAAAAATATATTACTGGTACTATTTTTTCCTTCAAAAGTGTACTGCTGGTAATAATTTTACCTAAAAATTCATTGTACGTATTAAAACCTATTTTTAGACTTTCATAATGTTCCGACTCCAGTTTGGAGGGGTTAACTATTTGCCCATTGCTGGGACTCAAACAGGTGCTGCCACACAGGCTCAGGGTGAACCTGGGAAGACCAGCAATTAAGAAGTAGTTCTACGCTCATCGAAACCTCCTGAACGGAGGCCTTGCTGTTGGATGTAGTTTGTCGTCTTACCCGGGATACCTAAGTTGTTTGGATTTCACTCAAGTAAAATGTATAATGATGGAATATTACGCGTTCGTAACATTTGCTAATTTTACGGCAATAAGTGCTTAAAGGTTTTAAGCAATTTTGACAATTAGTTCTTTTCATGTCAGCTGTAACACTGAAGTAAAATAATACCAATAATATTTATTAAGAATATATTACAGGAAATATCAAGTTTAACGGAAATATTGTTGACAATTATGTATTTAGTTACTAACAAATAAATAAAGATAATATCAATTTTGATGCTATATCGATTTGTTGTTAAGTATTTTTCATTTTCTCCTTTGTCATTGGCAGCATTTTAGAATACTTTGGCTGCAATGTTAAGTTTCCTAAGTTGAACAAACTGGAGCTATATTGTTTATGCTTTGTTACCTCACGTTTCCATTGTTGTTTTTAAATCGCTTTTTTGAAGGGAAATAACGAAATTCTGAAATTAGAATGATCTCATTTCATTTGAAAAATAAATCCTTTAAAAAGGAATATTTTAAATTAATCTACGACCAAAAATAACATGTTTTTGTTAAAAAAAACCATGATGCTTTCACTATAATTATTTAAAAAGAATGTAATGATATTCTGCAGACAAAATGTATGGTTTATGTTACCTTATATCATTGAAAGGTGACGAATTATAAACCTAAATTGAGCTTGAAATATTGTGTAATCAGCTCTACTTTTTTTTGTTAAAATATTGGCTATGATATAATGAATAATTTGCAGTGAAAAAGGCAATTTTCGATTATCTCTTGAATCAGTTTCTGCTCAGACGAACCCGTCATACATGCACACACACACACACACACACACACACACACACACACACACACACATATATATATATATATATATATATATATATATATATATATATATATATATATATATATATGCCAAGTATAGGATTTGTGTATACGGAATGAATTCCAATAACCAACAAATACTATTCTTAAAATACAGAGTAGAGCAAATATAATCATTTATTATTATTTTTTTAAATCACAAAAAATAGCCATTTTGTTTCAACATTTCTGCTGTCTTCTCATAGACACACACACACACACACATATATATATATATATATATATATATATATATATATATATATATATATATATATATATATATGCCATGAAACAAATCCAGGACATTGTGTAAAATATTTAATACAAAATTGCATGCCTGCTACGCTGATCTTACAGCTGCATATGACCCTTTAAATCAGAAGTAGGGTTCTATCTTTTTTTTTTTATTATTAGGATTGGCCTTCCGGTGCGGTCTCATGTCTACTTCAACTCTATTCATCTAACGTCACCGCCAAAACACTGAAATTACAATTACTATTTATTTTTTCCTCAATACCAGAAGATAGGATCGACTATCGTCTGGTTCACACACCACACCGATTTTTGAATAGGGGTAGAGATTTGTCCCTTGTTTCTTGCTTAAGAATCTGTTTCCGGGTCCTCCTAATGACAACTTCAAATCAATGCTTCAAGCTTCTCCACCTAAACCCCGAACTTTTATTTACTATTTTTCATTTATTTTTCCTCAGTAGGAGCAGATAGGTTCGCCTATCGCCCAGTTCACTCTCCTTCCCAGTCTTTTGAACACGAGTAGTGTTTTATCTCTTGTTTCCTATTTACGATTGCGTTTCCAGTTTAATTGGAAAGTTTTCTCATACTCTTTCACTTACTGTATCCCATTGCGTCTTAGTGGCATTATCGCCTTGCTTGTGGGCGAATTGATTAAAAAATCTATTACAAACTGCCGCCCAAGCTCCAAACACACCGAATGGCGACATCTGATAGATGAAATATATCGGCCCATAAAGTCGTATATATCTGGCGAGGACACAAGTACAGAAATTTTCTAAACATCATCAGTTTTAGGACAAGGAGTAAATAACAACCCTCGTTTAATTAATTGCTTCCGATGCTATTCCCTGCGCATACACAAGCACAGATGTGAAGAGATGTGTACCGTGTCCCAAATTAATCGACTAATAGAAAACAGCGTCCCTGCTTCCCCTCCCGAGGCCAATGTACAGTGAACGATGTGGGGGTGTATGCTGATGTCAGATGTATTCATAGTTGGGACGAGAATGATATGGAAAAAAAATCAGTATCCCCTAACATGTACCTCAATAAATATGACTCAACATAAACGTTTCCAAAACAGAAGCTCTGTCTGAAATTGGAATGAAAAACTAAACCTTATTCAGACTGTGGAAGGTAATCGCCATTAATAGCAACACAGTCTCCGCCTATATCAGATTGTGCGTTTATTTAACTGGACTTACGACACACAGGATTCCCGGTGTTTTTTTAGTTTGTTTTAAGGTGTCGTGACCATTGCTTATACCGCCGGCTTCGCTGCTTCCCGCTTCTTTTTCAAGCAACCACACTCTTCATAACTTTTCAGGAAACTTTTTTGCTTCACTTGAGTAAACCATATAACTTAATAGTTTTACACATTTATTAAAGGAAGGACTGGGGGTTAAATCAGTTGTGTAGAGAAGTGTTTGTGTCCGTATACGATCTGTGAGACATCTGTCTGGTCATGAATCACATGATACGATTCTGGAATGTTTTTAATTCTCTGAAGAAATGTTTATAGTTCAGCATAAACAATACAGGTTGTAAAAAAACTACGGGGAGTATATATATATATATATATATATATATATATATATATATATATATATATATATATATTATAGATAACTAGACTCGTTTCGAAAAAAACCTCGAATTTTTGATTTGCTAATAATCAAATCAATCTCGAGGGAAAAAAGGTTTTAAAAAAGAAAGAGCTACAAACATGAACTTCTGCTGACAAAAAAATCGCACAGATACAGGTCTGAACCCCAAAGAAAAAAACCCGATACGAGTAAACTAACAAAAGCGCTCAATACAACCGTAGAGCAGACCTAGATACACCAAGTGAGCCAGACAGATCTACCTAGGTTTCACCTAAACGGATCGTCAGGGAAAGTAAGGCTCACTTTCCCTGACGATCCGTTTAGGTGAAACCGAGGTTGGTTTGTCTGGCTCACTAGGTATATATATATATATATATATATATATATATATATATATATATATATATATATATATATATATACAACTCTATAACTTTTATAACTCTAAAAAACATACACACAACCCATACCTCCAATTAAAAAACAAAAATGAACCATATGAAAAATATATCCGGAAGCGTTCGAAATTACAAAACATTTGGACAGTTCTGCACACTCTGTGTCCAGAAAGGGGAACATTTGCTCGAACACAGGAAAGGCTAGATGGGAAGCTTAATCGCAGTGCCCTGCATGTCGTCTTTGATAAAACATATATATATATATATATATATATATATATATATATATATATATATATATATATATATATATATATATATATATATATATATATGTGTGTGCGTGTGTGCGTCGCGTAGGTTTTGGCTTTGAATTTTAGAGCATTCAAGAAGTGTGATTTTTTCAAACGCTGCCAACCCAGCCAAATCCGTTCTGCGTTGAACAAGAATTGAACCATGACAGTTTTTGGCCACCATACACAAATACAGCTACTTTTTTTTTTTTTTTAATGTTCTTCCATAGGCTGTTACGTTAACAGGGACAGTATTGTTTGTTTTGCACTTTGTTTCAGATATGTTTATAATCAAAGAGACTTTCAATGCAGTTTTGAAAAATGCTTTGATAAATCTATGCATTTATTGTCTCATAATATTTCCATCAGCGATATCACAAGAAGCTCCTAAGTTTGAAAGACGACCACTGACGGAAAATCCCGATTTGCTAGTGGATCCTGTTTTGAGTACAATTGAAAGGATTACAATGCAGAACATATGTGCAGATAGAATACCCGCTTTGTCTCGCTACATTTAAGATGTTTACAGAACGTTAAATACAGATGCCAATATTGGTGTATGCCTTAGAGATCAAATACACAGTTTATGAAGGTTATTAACATTTCCTACAATTAGGTGTTTCGTATGAGCTTCAAAAACTAATGTAATTTCATGCAATAAAAGGCTTTCGTGGAGTCAATGAAAACAATATAACCAGAAATATTGAATTCCAAGGACTTTGAATTCATTTTCTCTAAGACTATCATCATTGATTGTTCCACATCCAGATTAGAATCCGGCTTGTCATTCTGAAGAGAGTCATACAGCTCATTTTTGACAAGTATGTAGCTGAATGATTATTATATCTAAATAATGTAAATACTAAATACTTCAAATACATTGGTCTATGGATTAGAAGAATTTTAGTATAAGGACATGAACATTCATCGTTGGGATAAGAATGATCTAGAAAAAAATCTATGCTCCCTACCAAGTACTCCAAGAAATAAGACTCAAGATAAACCTTTCCAAAAGGGAGGCTATATCTGGAATTAGAATGAAAGCAGTGATGCCACGTACCATAAAAATTCAGGATGTAGAATTCATCATCCTTATCAACATCACGATCTCCACCAATGTCAGAACGTACGCTAATTTTGTTGAACTCACAATAGAATTCAGTGTTGGGTAGCTTTTTCTAAGATGGAGTTGTGGCCATTTGGTTAGGTTCTTATGCCATACTCTTTGCTAGATACACTTCTTTTACCAATAACCATTCCTTCATATCTATAGTTTTAATGATGCTTTTTTGCTTGGTTTGATGAAACCAAATAACTTAACGTTGCGCTCAAAGTAATTTTACATATCAAAATGATACAAAGACAAAATTATTAAGCTCGACTATCCTTTTTAATTAGTCTCGTAATATCGAGACTTTCATATGAATGACAGGTATAGCTGCAAACCTGTTCAGAAATATGTAAAATTGCCTGCTGTATGCGGCCGCTTTCTAAAATCAATGGTTAAAAATAGCTTCGAGCGATTGAAGCATGCAGGTTTCTATGAGGACCACATCTCGTGGTCTGGCGCTACAGAATTACAAACAGATTACTGTACCAAATAACATAAACCATATCACCTAAGGATTTCAATAACAGTAAATACTAAAATAGCACATATAACTCATATGATACTAATGGCAACATCAAAATGGTGACTTTCTACAAGGAAAGAATTTACTAATTGATTGATTTGTTTTTTTTGTTTTTTGTTTTTTACTGTTTATCAACCCTTTATGGTGTTATTTAAAGTCAAAAAATAATCCGTATTGTTGGAGATTTCTTCAAGAACCCGCTTTCCCAAACGGCGCCCATCTAAATACGAAGCGATGATTGAACGAGAACCGGTGTTTTCAGAGTGATTTGAACACACAAAAATAATAATTCCTATCAATGCTATAAAGAGCGTTAACAGCTGTCAGACTTAACTGTCTTAGTCTCCTCGAATTTCCGAAAATAGGTGTTCGCCTGGGTGTTTACAGACCCCAATACAAAAAATGTTTTATAGCGTTACAGTTACGTTAAATATTGTCGTACTGATGCTTGACATTGCATTTAAATTTTTTGAAGAGCAATTTTGACTTGAAAACTTGAAGAGATCTACGCAAGCGAAAAGTGCGTTAGAATAAATTGTTAACATAGAATTTACGGTTACATTTAGTCATTTCAACTGGAAACAATGAAAAAAAAAACAGGAAGTAAAATTGCAGAAGATAACGATTGACATTGTATTTAAATTTTGAAGTTGAAATTGACAGGATAGCAAGAAGCCTGAACAGAGTTCCACAAGCGAGAAGTGCGGTAGAAAAAACTGTTAGAATATAATTTATATTTAGCCATTTCAGGTTTCGAATGATAAGATCTTGCTGCCGATCTGTCAGGTCATCCCATAAATTCTGTCCGAATTTTGAATAAAGAAAACAAGTGACCGAATGTTACATTTAATTACAGATTCAATCAACAATATATTTTCCCTGATTATCTATGACGTCCTTCCATGTATTAACAAGCTTACTAATTCCATTACTGTAAAATTATTTTGGCTCTGATTCGAAGAACTCACAAATGTCAGTTTTAACCTCTTCCTGTGTTACAAAAGCTGTTTCTTCCAAATGATTCTGTAAGCTACGAAACAAATGGTAGTCTGAAGGAGCAAGATCGGGAGAATAAGGTGGATGAGGAATTTCCTCACAACCAAGTTCTTCGATCATTTTTTACGTGATTCTTGCTGTGTGGGGTCGCGCATTGTCCTGATGAAACATCACCTCTTTTCGATTCACTTGAGCAGGTTTTTTTCCCTCAAAGCTTGGTTCAAACGCATTAATTGTTGCATTAGATGGAAAGAATTCAAAGTGGGTTATTCCTTGGTGATCCCACCAGATTGAAAGAAGAACCTTTTGCCCATGAAGTTTCCTTCTCGGTTGTGGCTGGGGTCCTTCCCCTTTACCAAGCCACTGTCTACGACGCTTAACATTTCGATAAAATATCCATTTTTCGTCGCCAGTCACAAGTCTATCCAAAAAAGGTGAAACAAGTTGGCGAGAATGGAGAGAAGAGCAGATGTCAACTCGGGATTTGAGGTTGTTTTCTGACAATTCATGAGGCACCCATTTTCCAAGTTTTGGTTTGAACTGAGAACCACTGCCAATTCCTCAACTGATAAAGCAGGATTTTCTTCAAGGACTGCTTCAAGAAGCTTTTCATCAAACTCAACTGGACGTCCCGTTCGATTTTCATCTTCAAGGGTGAAATCTCCACCTCTGAATTTTGAAAACCATTTTCTGCAAGTTCTTTCATTCACACATTCCTCTCCATAAACTGAGTGAATGTTTCTAGCCGCTTCGGCTGCTGAGTTTCCTTTCTTGATCTCATAATGCATTATGTGCCTCAAATGATTCTTGGGTACTTCCATGTTAGCAGGGTTTTAATCAAACAAAATTTCATTTTATTGTTCTCTGAAATAATAAAATTTGATCAGTTTAAATGCATCTCAACATAAAAATAATGTTCAGCTCCATTAGACATTATAAAATACTCTTTAAATTTAAAATTCGGACAGAACTTATGGGATGACCTGATAGTACTGTGCTTAAATTCATAGATTCCGGGAACCATGCAGAAAAATTTCATCGGAAAAATTAGTATAAAAATACTTTTAGAAAAAGCACAGGGAAGCCGGATATGGGAAAGTCACTGAAGCCGAAATGCCAAGCTAGGACTAATAAAATTGCAGATTTTTCTTTGTATTTTATCAAGAATTTCTAAATTTGTAACAGAAGCACCAGAACATATGTGGTGGCAATATTCAATGCTTAGGCGAATGGTAGACATATAAACAGGCTAAATAGATTCTTGCGGGAAAATTGTTTAACGGGCTAGAATAAACCAATTTTCCTAGCAGCAGATCGAGCAGTTGATTCGATATAATCTTTCCCCTTTTGCAATAAGTGGCATATGGACATGTGATTTCGTTTCACACGTGACTGACTGATTGATTGAATGGCTTATTTTCTACGACTTATCAATGCTTTACAGGTTATATAAATCCAGAAAAAAATTAGATTGAAAGAATTTAGTTATAGGGATATAATAATGTTTGGTGATACAAATTTTACTAATCTAGCCATAGGTGAGGAAGAAGAGACTGATTCCTACATTTCCCAATGTTATTTGCTCGTAAGTGAATATAAGGAACCCAACCCAAATTGGAAACCGAAACTCTGATTAATAATTCCGGGCCATTATCAATTAAACCACCGCACATACCACCTGGTATTCACAAACGGTTACCCATCTACAGACTGGCCAGGCTAAACGTTGCTTCAACCGTAGGCTAAGTGTTAATATGATCTTCAAGTTGTTGCATAAACAAACAATATTTGGTAGAAACTAGTCCAAGAATTAAAATAAGAAATTTGGAGAGAAGATGAATAATTCCATTTTTTTCCGTTTAACATTCTAAATGTTGCTTTATGTGTAATTTCTGTCTTGTTGTCTATCGGCAATTCTTCAGGCAACAACGCTGCATCACAGATAAATTAAAAGACTTCAATTTTGTTTTAAAATACCTCATGTAATTGAGTTAATTTGTTGATTTTCTACTTTTTTAATGAAATATTTTTAGTATTTCGGGTCCTAATGTTTCATTAAAATGTAAAAAATATGAACTCGTACGCCAATACGCGAAACCGATGAACGGTAACACGATATCTAAAAAAAAAAAGAGGTAATCTGTGGAGATAGCAGACAAAAATTCTTCGAAAATGGCTAGTTGTTATACGAGAACATTACCTATTCTATTGTAATAGACACTCCCACAGATAATAAGTAGTAGTAGCAGTGGCCAGTTGGGCTCAGTGGAGTTGAGTGAGTCAGTCGATGTCGGACATTGAAGTATCAACCATCACAACTAGATTGCTGCGTCATTAACTATTATTATTGCAAGTTTCTAACGTTTTGTACGTCGGACCCTTTTAGGACCGACTTATTGAAATACAAGCCTCCACTACTTTACAACACTAGTGTTAGCCAAATGTGCTTAAACATGGTAATATATATTTATAAAAAACAGCCAGAAATTAGAAAATCATTTTCAATTGCATATTCGAATTCGAATTTTGAATTAAAAAAATGAGAAATCCAAACATGCGTTGGAATAGAAAAAAATGCCTTCCAAAAGCTAATCAAAGTAGTAAAGTACAGGATAATTTTGTTAGAAACAAAGAATAGACTACTAAACTCATGTAATATCAATCCTCTTGTGTGGCGCTGAATGCTGGAAATATACTCACAGATAAAAAAATAACAACAGAAATATGGTTCTATAGAATATCATGGACGGGGGGTAAGCAATGAATAAGTCTTCAGGCTAATGGAAAATAAAGAGAAACCTTACACTCGTAATGAGAAAGAGACAGCGGACATAAAATGGACATAAAATAAGGACAAAGGTTTTAGAGAATATAAAACTCACAAGAGACATCGAAAGAAAAACGCACAAGAAAGAGCAGCAGGTCACCGGTGGAACGGAGGAGATGGTTGGAGGCCTGGCAAAGAAACTATAGTTGCTGGTGGCTACAAGTGTAGGAAGTTGTGTTGAGCCTTGACCGCCTAGATCCTGAATGGAAAAAGATACATAGTAGGAGAAGAATAAGCTCTTACTGGGAAATTTGAACTGGAAATTTTAGTTACAGGCGAAAACGCTACCGTTTTTGCCACCGGTCATTTCCCCACAGCGATTCTGAAATAGACGTGTAGGGAGCAAATGAATACAAAAAAAAAAAAAAAACGCAGAGAAAGAATTGGGGTGGGGTGGTGGATAATGGACCTTATAAGGGAAGTAGAGAAAAAAGACTTTTCTTAAAACCGGCTCTCCGGAAGAAAATTAGATTACAAAAAAGAAAAAAAAATATATGAACGAAACGAATAATTGTAAGAAAGACTTGATCGCCAAAAAAAGAACCATTGAGAGAGAGAGAGAGGGGGGAGAGAGAGAGGGGGAGAGAATGAAGAAATCTCTGCTTAAGAAAAATGAAAAAAACAATGAATTGCTGAATGAATGAGTAAATGAATGAGTAAATGAATGAAATTTTTGCATGGTCTAATGGAAATGAATATGGCTCTTAAAAGCTATCAACGAAGACAGAAAAACTAGAGAAAAAATAAATGGGTACACACACACACACATAAACACACACACACACACACACATACACAGAGAAAAGTTCCTGAAAATAATGATGGGCCTGGAAGAAGAATGGAAACGGGTAAAATAAGAGGTAACCGGCAGAAAATGAAAAATAGAAAAGAATGAATTGCAGGACGAAGGAGAATGTGAAAGAGATCGAATCACGCTCCGCTGCCCATGAATAAGGCTTTGAAGAGTCAAGGAAGAATAAATGATCAGAGTGATCAGAGGTATGTGTGTCAGAAAATAGAAGGGTGGAAGTAAATTGAGATGAGGGTGGGGAAAGATAAGGGTGGGGAAAGAAAATCAAAAGCGAATAGATATAAAGAAAGAAAGAAAGAAAGAAAGAAAGAAAGAAAGAAGAACTTAATATATTTGGAAAATAATTAGGGTATGCGGATGAAAGAAAGAAAGAAAGAAAGAAAGAAAGCATTTGAAAAAAGTAAAATATGATTGGGGATAAGCAAAAGGAGAAAGAAAGAAAGAAAGAAAGAAAGAAAGAAAGAAAGAAAGAAAGATAACCATGGTGGAAAGAAAGAAAGAAAGAAAGAAAGAAAGAAAGAAAGAAAGAAAGAAAGAAAGAAAACCATGGTGGAAAGAAAGAAAGAAAGAAAGAAAGAAAGAAAGAAAGCATTTGAAAAAAGTAAAATATGATTGGGGATAAGCAAAAGGAGAAAATGAAATAAGAAAGAAAGAAAGAAAGAAAGAAAGAAAGAAAGAAAGAAAGAAAGATAACCCTGGTGGAAAGAAAGAAAGAAAGAACGTAAGAAAGAAAGAAAGATAACCATGGTGGGTGGAAAGAAAGAAAGAAAGAAAGAAAGAAAGAAAGAAAGAAAGAAAGCATTTGAAAAAAGTAAAATATGATTGGGGATAAGCAAAAGGAGAAAATGAAATAAGAAAGAAAGAAAGAAAGAAAGAAAGAAAGATAACCCTGGTGGAAAGAAAGAAAGAAAGAAAGTAAGAAAGAAAGAAAGATAACCATGGTGGGTGGAAAGAAAGAAAGAAAGAAAGAAAGAAAGAAAGAAAGAAAGCATTTGAAAAAAAGTAAAATATGATTGGGGATAAGCAAAAGGAGAAAATAAAATAAGAAAGAAAGAAAGAAAGAAAGAAAGAACGAAAGAAGGAAAGAAAACAAACTTGAATGCATTTGGAAAAAGTAAAAGATTATCAGAAATAAGCAAAAGAAGGAAATAGAATAATAAAGAAAGAAAGAAAAAAGAATTGACCATATTTGGAAAATAATTAGGATATGCAGAAGATCGGGAGAAAGAAAGAAAGAAAATGTGGAAGATTTTAGGAAATAAAGAAAGAAATGAAAAAACAGAAATGAAAAGTAAATAGAGAGAGAGATAAGAAGAAAGAGAAAATAATCATGAAAGGGAGAAAATAAGGAGAGAGAGGGAGAGTGAATGAAAGACAGAGTATGTAAACTTGAAAGAAAGAAAAATAAGGAGATAGATAGAGAGAAAGAAAGAGAAAGTAATCAAAGAAGAAGACAAAACAGAGAAAGTAAGCTTAAAAGTAGTGCCCAGTGCAGAAAGAAAGAAGATAAGCCGATAGATAGAAGGAGTAAGAAAGAAAAAGAGAGAAAATAGGCACAAACGAAGTGTGGGGTGTGGAAATGTTATAGATAGATAGATAGATAGATAGATAGATAGATAGATAGATGGAGAGAGAGAAAGAGGGAAGTACGTAGTGTAGAAAGAAAAAAGTTAAGGTGACACAGAAATAGTGAAAGAAAGAGAGAGAGAGAGAAATTAGAATAAAAGAAAAGTGTAGCGTGTAGAAAGAAGAAAAAGTTGATAGACAGAGATAATGAGAGAAAGAGGGGAAAAAGAGAAAATAATTTAAACTGGAAGTATGGATTGGTAAAAAGAAGAAAAAGTCAGTAGACCGAGACACAGATAGACAGAGAGATAGATAGTTAGAGAGAGAGAGAGAGGGGGGGAAAGAGTGACAATAATTTAAAAGGGAAAGATATGTAAAGAAAGAGAAAGAGAGAGAAAGATTAAATAACATTAAAACTTATTACCTTACTTTGTCTTTCTACACTCCTTAGAGTGTAAAAAGAAGACAAGGGGATAGAGAGAGGAGGGGAAGAAAAACATTTACTGTAGAGAGTAGAAAGAATGAATAGATAGATAGCTAGCTAGCTAGCTAGCTAGATAGATAGATAGATAATGAACAAACTGACAGAGATAGATAATGAGCAGACTGTCATAGATAGATAGATAGATAGATAGATAGATAGATAGATAGATAGATAGATAGATAATGAACAGACTGACAGAGATAGATAATGAGCTGTCATAGATAGATAGATAGATAGATAGATAGATAGATAGATAGATAGATAATGAAATGAGACTGACAGAGATAGATAATGAGCAGACTGTCATAGATAGATAGATAGATAGATAGATAGATAGATAGATAGATAGATAGATATAGATAATGAACAGACTGACAGAGATAGATAATGAGCTGACTGTCATAGATAGATAGATAGATAGATAGATAGATAGATAGATAATGAACAGACTGACAGAGATAGATAATGAGCCGACTGTCATAGATAGATAGATAGATAGATAGATAGATAGATAGATAGATAGATAGATAGATAATGAACAGACTGACAGAGATAGATAATGAGCAGACTGTCATATATAGATAGATAGATAGATAGATAGATAGATAGATAGATAGATAGATAGATAGATAGATAATGAGCAGACTGTCAGAGATAGATACATAGAGAGAGGGGCGAAAGAGAGATGAATAATGTTAAAAGAAAATAGTGGAGTGTAGGAGGAAGGGAGATAGGAGTTCAAGTTGGGAAAATCCAAAATCAGTTGATAGATTGGTAGAGAAAATGGAATTACGCCATGACGGAAGATGTATGCGACATCATGCAAAGCTAAAATGGATATAAAATTGCTCTTAAGTGTCTTAAAAGACGCATTAAAAATAAAATTAAAAAAATGAAGGATGCAAAGGGCGAACAACAAAAAAAAGAGGATGATAAAAGAAAAAAAAATGAAGAAGTTTGGTGGATAATAAATGTTGTTTATAAAATTAAAACTAGGTGAAGGGACAAGAATAACAAAAAAAGAAATTAACGCAAGATATAGAGAGAAGGAAATAAGGAACATGGAAGAAAAGAATAAAACAAAAAAAATATGATAAATAATGAAATGAAATCAAAAGAAGAAAAAAAGAAAAAATTAATGACAGTGAAAGAAAAGGAATTAGGATGAATGCAAAAGACGGTAGAATTGGAATCTTAAAATGTCAGCTTTTTATTGTGCCAACCAATTTTTCTTAATTCAATATAAGATCCACACGATGTCATAAGGTATATAAGGTTAAGGAAAATATACGAATATATGGTTTCGTTTATTTTGTTTTACGGCATAACAACCTCAGTGGGTTATTTCATGGCGACAAGATTTTTAGTATAGTTTCGTATCAACAGATATATCCTTTGTAAGAAATTATTTTGTAGGAGATCAGGTTTCATAGACTATTTTTGTAAAGAGGGTTTTTTTGTCGAGAGTCGTATTGCTGGTAATATATTTTCCTCCAAAAAATATATTTATTTTACAATAAAAATCTATTTTTATACTTGCACTGATAAATAATCAGTTACCTCCCCTTAAGATCTAGGAGGTATAAAAAGCACCCTGTAATATACGTCAGTAGACGAGTAGTCAGATTTAAGTGCAATAAAGTTTTGGTATAAGTTTATTCGCTGGTTCCGTTTTTACTACAATAATTTCATGGTGTTTTGACCCAAACTGGGTGTTAAATATTCGCTCATTGCTGGGACTCTAACATGTTCTACCACCCAAGGTCATGGTGAACATTGAAACAGCAGCAATTAAGAGGTGTGTAATGAAAACTCGGAGTCTCGTTCGTCGTTATGTGCCGTTATTGAACGTAAGTCTTTCCGATTTGGCTAAGATAAATGAAAATATTCTACAGAAGACGCCATTCGAAATTATAAAACGGTCAGTGGCACACCGTTGTAGTTTCATGACTGGATTCTGCATGTCTTATTCCATATGTGCCGCAGAGGAAGGTCATGAAATCAAGGCTGTGAGCGATATCCTGGCAATTTGAGGTCCAGCTTAAAAAGAACGACACCATCGACACTTCTCTTATTTTCTTTAACCTCCAACCAACTCTTGCAAAGGTTTTCCCCAGCAAAAGTTTCATTCAATATTTGACATCAAATTGGATTACGATATGACCAACATCAATGTCGTGGAAAAAGCCAATCAGGCAAAGCATCGAATCGCTGATTATTAAACACCGTCTTTGATGGTCAGAACATGAAGCAAGAATGAAACTGTCAAGGTTTCCAAGCCATGTCTTATTTAGTGATCACACTTCATGGAAAAGACCACGTGATTGCTCTCTTCGAAGATACAAAGACCAACTCAAACAACACCGCCACCTGACATCGTTTAAAACACAAGTACGATATCGTACCAACAGGAGATGTTCCATCACCATTGGAACTAAAAACTTCGGAGCCCCCAGAATAGAAAATAAGAGGTCAAACGACAAGAGATAAAGGCTCGAAAAATATCGATCAAGTCTTCCACAATTATTACCATGCAGTCAATGCCATCGGCCCTTGCATGCAAGCATTGATTTACTTAGACATCAACGCCATCACCATAAAGGAAGCGATCAGAAAATAAGAAATTAAATTCTTTGATACGAGATAAAGCCGACGACTGTGATACGGAACATTCTACACAAAAAAAATATAGCAAATATCAAACGGAATATTTATACACTTAAATATATATCCAAATATAACACCAATATTTTATGTAAGACACATTACAAAGAAAGGCTCGGAATTAGGGAGGTTATTGTAATAAGAGACAAGCAGCTATCATCATATAAGATATCTTTCTCCATACAGGACCGTATAGGGATGCATGTTAAAAAAAAAAAAAAAAAAAAATTCAGTTTCACTATTAATATGACGTCACCTTCAGTGACTTGAAATTTGTTACATCAAACGTGAGAACGCCGGAAATAATAATACAATAATTCTGTAAATAAACACAGAACCATCATTAAAAACGGATGTAGCAACATTTGAAAGTACTCGGGAAAAATGATATAGAATAAAAAATGAATATGAACTACCCAACCGTTTTTGCCGTCGCCGCATAATAGCAACTGTCGTCGCTGAATCTTGTATATTTAGTACTAAATCCTTAATCAAAATGCTCCGTAGTGACCTATCCGATATATCCATCTCCTTTATTTTTTCTTCATCATATCTTGGCGGCTTCAATGACTCAACAGGTACAAACTGAGCGTTTTTCTTTCCTGAATTGCTTTTCATGAGACTGTTTCGTTTTCTTCAAACTTTTCCCCACATATTTAAAACAGTTTGTTCTACAATACGTAGAACTGTTTTATCAGCTCAGAAGTCTTCATAGCAGCCATTTGCAGTGTGACAAATTGATCTCGCTTTGTTTCTGCTGCCATATTGAATTAAACTACAACATATAAAACAGAATGATGTTTGGAAGGTTTATGCTAACTTTACAATTATTTTTACGTATGAGATTGTTTTAATTTACGATTAAATAATGGATACATGTTTATGTTAAATATTGAGTAAATATTAATGCTGCACCCATACACAGACACACGCAAATATATATATATATATGTATGTGTGTGTGTGTGTGCAAAAAATTCCTCAGTTACCCTGTAAAAATAGACAATATGTATAAAGGTAAGAGACAAGAGGAAAACTGTATTATTAGCCGACGCATTTCTTCTAATGTGGACTTTTCAAGGCAAAAACGAAATGAATTTATTGAAAACAATGTAACTAATAATAAAAAACAAAATGTCCTTAGCAAATGGAAAAATTTAGAAAAATTATATTTATATTGTCTACTGAAAATTACGCCAAGTACTTACACGTGTGGAAATATTGTTTTTATTGTGTTGACGGATTCAACCATTTTCTTTTGATTTCTTGACACAGTTGTGTACGTTTGCTTGCGAGAGTAGTAATGCTGTTAGGAAAGGTGATATTGGGGAAAAAACTGTTTTGTTTGTTTTAATAATTATTTGTAATCAATAAATTGATTTCGATTTTGCCTTGAAAAAGTCCACATTGGACGAAACGCGTCGTCTAATAATACAGTTTTCCTATTGGCTTTTACCTTTATATATATATATATATATATATATATATATATATATATATATATATATATATATATATATATTACAGGTAATCGATCCTCTTGGTATATAATCCGGGTGGATCCTAGTTATAATAATTATTAAAACTGATCCACAGTGAGGTCGATGTTTTTTTTTTAACAGGGCATATATATTTTACAACAAACAACTGTATTTACCTCAAGATCGGAATAGACTATTTCAAACCTTCCCTTATCGGCTTTCGTCACTTGGCTGACGACAGCCGTTAAGGGACAGTTTGAAATAGTCTATTCCGATGCCGAGTTAATTTTTTTTGCTTATATATATATATATATATATATATATATATATATATATGAAGACATGTTCTCACGGAAGAAGAAAATAGATTTAAAAAGAGAGGCCGCCATTTTACCTTCAGGAGACTTTTTCGGCCAACACTTTATCGAAAGTAGGACATTGGCGAGTAGAGCAAAATACTCAATAACACGTATGTAAATAGGAAATGAGCAGCGAATATTGAAAGACGATTAAAATAGATTTTTATTGTAAATAAATTAATGACTAAAAACAAAATAAAACATTCAAAAGTGTATAAAATAGAAAAAAAATTACTCATATTCCCTCGATCAAACGTACGGAACGAATGAAGTGTTCCTTTTGCTTATACCGTCTTTGCTGATTGATTTTAATATACACAGCCTCAGTCTATTTTTCTCCGCAACAGCTTTCTCCTTATGATAAAGTTTTGACCGAAAGGCTCTCCTAGAGTTAAAATGACGACCGCTCTCTCTTTCTCCCTCTCTCTCTCTCTTCCTATATATATATATATATATATATATATATGAGCAGTATTACCCTATGCAAGGCAGTAAAGCCGCTAAGACATGTGGGGTTACAGGAGAATTGGGCAAGAATTAGAAACAGAAACATTAACAATGAGAGAAGAAAGAGTAATCAGGAGGACAGTAGATAGCGATTGACACTGCATTTAATTTTTTACAGATTAAACTTAACTGGAAAGCATGGAGCCGGAAGGGAGTACCATAAACGGGAAGTGCAAGAAAAGAAACTGTTAGCATAGAACTTACGGTTACAGATAACCAGCTTAACTATAAATTATATATCCTGGGTGAGATAGATAAATTGTCACTAGTTTACATTTCTAATTTCGCCAATGCGCGTCTTTGTTTTTTTTTTTTTTTTTTTTTTTTTTTGTTATTTTGTCGACTTCACATGGTCAATTGGGCACCATCTGTGACCAAAAGAGCAAAATAACGCGATTCACTTCAACATAACATTTGGAACGACATGGTATTCTGCTTGGCATTCGCGCCAGAAGCTCTAATACGAACATTTCAGTGTGTTTGGTTGTCAATCTGAGGACAGTGCACATGATTCGCACAGAGTTGGATGAGTCTAATGGTGATTACCAAAGGTGCGTCAGTTCGGAAAACTCACTCTGACGTCCTGATAGACTCCCGAATATGTTATGAGGGCCTCGGTAACGGAGGCCTACATCAAGTGCTCTGAGAAGGTAGTGCTACCCTGGGTCAAGACGGTGGCTGCTGGAAAACCCTATATCTGGCAACATGCAGGAGAATTCAGTCACAGCTGTCAGACAGTTTCTGCGAACATATCCCCCCTTATATCTTGCCACCTAACTCGCGAGACTGCAATATAATCACTCAATTTCATGTCAATGGAAAACATGAGACCAAGAATTTGCGATGATGATCTGCGAGAGGTTCGCCTCAGCCACGCTGCTGCAAAGCTAAAATAATTCTATATGATGATCAAAAGATAGCAGTTTCTTTTTAGTTGCGTTAAAATATATCAGTCATTTCTTGCCCCGGTTAATAATTGATTTGAGGTTAGTTTCGAGCAACTGACTATTTTACTTAATCGGACTTAATATAAGACAGGAGTAAATAGTTTTGTCACCAACATAAATAACTATTTAGGAACTGATGAGATCGCGGAGGTCATTGATGAAGAAAAGGTAGACAAGGAATGATGCTCTGGGGAGCTCCCGCATTAATGCGAAATAATCTGGAAGAGCTGCCGTTCACCATGATATTTATAAATCAACTAGCAGCATGGTCCGGCGTTGCCCGTGTTTGATTCAAAAATGGTACGACTCATACAGCAATCGCTATCAATTGACTTAAAATATTTTTGCCCTTCCTTGCCGTTAAATGAGTGCACTTTGCCGTGCTGATGTTGCTACATGCCTTACTTCTTACCTATCTCACACTGCAAAATTTTTCCAAGCTCTAGACTAAATATTAAATCGGTTACGAAAAAAGAACTAAACAAAATGAACACAAAACTATCAACTTTAAAAAAAGAACTCGTAACTGGAAAAACCGAATGAAGAAAGAATGTTAACATCAAATACTTTTTCACGCCCAACCCAGTTCTGTGGAATCAGAATCAACATTGAGTTTAAGCAAGCGAATAAGCCAATTGTAGTAAAGTGCCATGCAGATTTAAATTTTTCCCACTTGTGACGAATGCAGCTATCGATTTTTTTTTGCATGATAGCATGTTAGTTAACATTCGTGTCAGTCAGCTGTTAGCTCTCACGCTGGCCAATAGAAATCTTCCTGCCTACTCGTGGCAGCCAGCTATAGGATCTCACTCTGGCCAGTAGAAAATGGCCACAAACTACATGAAAACTGCCGTAGGAGCATGAAAAAATCGATTATTTCCACTAATGCAAAGTCGGTCTTGGCCTTTTCAGCTAATTTGAAGCATGTGCATGAAAATTTTGGTGCAAATCCGTCGAAAATTGCGGCTGTGCATTCGTTACACACACACACACACACACACACACACGCACACACACACTGTTCGTGTGCAAAAAAAAAAATTATAACATTATTTGTATTTGCGATAGAAATAATCTGTAAAAATGTTATAAAGTTTAATGTACCTAGTTTTAGATATAGCTAAAATAACTAATGTGATTTCAGCCATTACTGTAAATCAGTTGGCAAATGTTTTCCGTGAACTGCAAAATCTTATTACCCTTTTATTGCTAATGATGGAGGATATGTAGAAACTTAAATAAAATCGCAATAAAATCTTAAAAAATGTAGATTTACTTCTTTCTAATCCTTTTTACAGATTATTTCTATCGCAAATACAAATAAAGTTATAAACTTTTTAAAGTGCACACGAACTTTATGGACACCCTGTATGTTAATATTAGGTTGGTGCAAAAATAATGCCGTAATAATGTCGTTTTTTGACGTATTTTTTAACGTCAAAAAACGACATTCTTACGTCATTATTTTTGCACCAACCTAATACAATAATTATTTATTCAGAGATATGGAGGACAGAGTTTATCAAATATGTTTCGAGGCTTATATCTTCTCTCCTTCGTCTTCTATGGACCGTGTTCCTCCAGGAAGTTGCTGATCAAGGCTGGCTGCAATATTCTGTTCTTTCTAGCTCTTAATAACGATTTTCATATCCCCCAAAACCTAGTCCGCCATCTATTCGCTCCAAATCGTTATGTTTGTTATACGTTTCTTTCCTTTGTCTTTCTTACCTTCAATGTACCCTGTGAGTATCAAATTTTCCAAAACCAATTACCTCATAATATGCATCAGAATTTCAACTGTCTCTTCCTGATGTTAAATGTAATTTTTGTTGCTATTAGCTCTAAAATTTCGTAGTTGCATCCATTCTTTTTTGTTGTAATTTATAAAATTAAACGAACGTGGCACTTAGTTTATTTGCATAATAAAGTCTGTCGGAAACCGAACCATTTCATTATCAATATATATATATATATATATATATATATATATATATATATATATATATATATATATATATATATATATATAATATATTAATATGAGAGATAAGCAGGAACGTGTTTAATAGATTGCTCATATAAATTTCAAACTCTCCTGACCGCTCGGCCAACATTAGTTAATTCATGTTGAACATATTGTTAAAAATAGGCCTGCATACAAAAACAAAAGCTTGCATAATCTACATACGGTGCTGGTTGATCGATGATGGTGATGAACGATGATAAGGATGATGATGATTGTGGCGGTGATCATGGCTGTTGCGGTGATGATGATAGTAGTGGTAGTAATGATAATGATGATGATGATGGTTGGGGCGGTGTTGATGATCATGCTGGTGGTGGAGGCGATGATCATGGTGGTGGTCGCCGAGAAGGCGGTGGTAGAGGTGATGATCATGGTGGTCGTGGCGCAGATGGTGGTGGTGGTGATGACGATGATCATGGCGGTGGTTGTGGCGGTGTTGACGATCGTGGTTGTGACAGGGATAATGATGATGATCGTGATGGTGGTGATGATGGTGGCACTGGTAGTGGTGGTGATGATTGGGGTGGTTGGGATAATGCTGATGATGATGACGGTAATGCTGGTGGTGGTGCTGATGATGATGATGATAATGCTGATATTAAGAAAAAAAGAATTAAATCAAAAAGAATGATAATGAATGCATTAAGAAAAAATAAGGAAGGAGGGAAGATGTGGAAAGTGGGAATAGAAAGTTTATGACTGACCACAAAATCGATGTAAATGAGAAGAAAAAGAAGAATACAATGGTGGAAAAGAATGAAAGGCTGTAAAAAGCACACCTAAGTAAAAAAAGAAAGAGTATGTATAGGAAAATATACAAATAAATAAAAGCAAATACAGAATGTAAGAAATAAAAGAGCAAGAGTGAATTTAAAAAAAAAAATCATAGAATTACGGAAGACAAATGGTGGTGAATTAGAAAAAAAAAGAAAAGAAAGAATAAAGGAATTGGAATAGAAAGAGAAAAATGCAAGGATATGAATCTGAATATGAAGAAAAACGATATAAAGTAATAAAA